AATCCACCTCCAAGCCTGACACTGACAACATGGGCTACAGACCGTGAAAGAATTAAAAATGAGACATGAAATTAGATCCAGGCTTTCAGAAGGTACATTGTGGTAAGCCAAAGTCTTGGCTTCCTAGTTATACCAAAATCAGGTGTGTGTAAACAATGCCAGAACACACTGTTGCCTAAAACATGCCTTCTTTTAAGTCTCTGGGTCCCCTGGTCTGGGTCACCCTTCCTGCTCCATCTGAAGGTACAAAGACAGGTCTGGTTTGAGTAGGGAAGGAGCTTTGGAGGTCAAAGGTCATGCAAATATGTCCTTAGGACCCTGGGCTCCTTAACCAACATTGCCCCCCATAGAGGGGTATGACCTAGAGTCCTGAGTAAAGTGTGAGTATGGCTGGTAGAGATGGAAGCATCATAAAGGAGGGGGAAGGCATTGGCTGAGACCCCACTCTTTGCCTTCTTGCCCTTCCTGTGGCTCTAGTTCCTAGCACTCTCCCTGCACCCCACTAGCTCCTCTTAGACCCTTCTCTGCCCACATCCCTCTGGCTCCAGTTTCTTTCCCATTTCCCTGTTTCCCATTCTTCCCTCTTTCTTAGGCCAAAAGACCATCATCAGATTGGCTGACCATGGAAGACTCAGACTTCACGAGCTAGGCTTGTGCCTCTCCTCACTCAGCCTCATCTGCTCCCAACACAATAAACACCTACGACAGGGCTGCACTTAGATTAAGATCCAGATAAACCTTTAGTTTTAGTACTCAGGAGGCAGATAGATGTGACTTCAAAGTCAACCTGACCTACATAGGGAGTTTCAAGCCAGCCAGGGCTAGACAATAAGACTCTGTTTAAAAAAAAAAAAATTCCAGGTCCTATGGCTGTTGTAACCTCACATATGAAAGCCAGTAGATTCGGAAGGCCCTGCCAGATAGCCTGGCCCAGGAGACCCAGCCTGGCTTGAGAGGAGCAAGCCATTACCTGTTCTGCCTAGCCCCTACAGGGACACTGCTGAGAATTTTGTAGCCCTTCTAAGCTTGCCTTGTTCAGTCCATCTACTCTCCGGTTTGTCAATCCGTGGCTAGATTACTGGCTGCTTCTGGAAGCCAGAGTAGGCCTTGGAGAGCCATTGTTCCACACACACCATCAACCCAGCACTGATAGTTCCACTGTTGAAGACCCTCCAGCAGTTTGGTAGCTCTCCGGGTACTCCATTGCAAGAAAAGAGTGGGTAGAGGTGACAGTCTCTCTGTCTTCCAGCAGCTGCCTGCCCAAGCCTGGTTTCCCAAGCAGCAGCTCACCTGTCTATCCTAGGGCCCTTCTGGCACCTGGCTGACAATAAGTATGAGAGATGCAAATTCAGGGACTGATCTTATCCTGACCCTCCTGCTTCCTCCTTGATCCTGGTCTCCCACCCTACAGAGCTGGGAAAGGGCAAAGACAGCCTAGAAGTGAGAGCAGGAAGATACAGCCATGTCCAAAATCAACAGAAGTGAATCCAACATCATCAGAAAACAGCTGGGAGAAAAGCAGGTGGTAGGCTTGGATGGAAACTCAGGGCCACCCCTGGGAGCCATCTGCACAGCTTGGTCAATGGATACAGTCCTTTACATGGAGTGCCTGAGCTAGACTGTGACCTCCACATAAGCCCTGGTTTTCTCATGCCACAGACCAGGGTACCACACTAAGGTCAACTTTCAGAGTTCAAAATATTCCACTAAGCAGCTTCTCAGTGGCCTAAGGCAATGACATTCTTCTACTTTCAGCCCTTTGAGGAGCATTTCTGGAAAAGGCTGTGAGACAATGGCAGGCCTGAGAAGGTAAGAGAATAGGTCTCCCAAAGCCCCCACTCCCATTCCACATGCTTCCAACACAGAGGGGCTGTGCTCAGACAGCTGGTGGGAGTCAGGTAGCCCTAGTGATTCCTAGGCTAAGGCTGAGGGACTCACTCCACAGTGCTGTCACTTAGCAAGTACTCACTCAACTAGCTCAGGTCCCACCAGGCCTTGAGGATAATCTATCTCTAGAGATGTCACAGAGCTGGCCTCCTACCCTGTGTACTGAATGACCCCAGAGAGGAATCTATTTCCCTATAGGACAAGGCTGGGACTATTTCCAGAAGCTCAGCCTTGAGAACCTTTCAAGGCTAAATCCAAGAGTTCCCTGGTGCCCCAAGCTGCCAAGCCTCACTGCTGCCTAAGCTGTCCCATGTGCAGTTCAGGGTCCTACCACTTAGGACATCCTGGGTGCTGAAATGAGCCTTAGGAAGAGGCAGACCTGAGACCAGGTCGAGTAGGGGCCTTGATATTGCATGATGACTCATGCAACCCAATATGTATGACAGTGACAGGAATGACAGGGGAGGCAGAATCCTAGGCCTCACCTCAGTCCAACAGAGGTCTCCACTTACTGTAAACAAGGAACCATGACCTGGTAGGCCTACATTTAACAAACTTCCCAAGATCTCCTGCAAAGTAGGAATATCTCCACTCCGTTTGCACAGATGAGGAAACTGAAGTATATAAAGACTAGGCATTGCCCTGGGTGACCTTTTTCTGCTACACCCAAGATGGCTTCTCTGTCCTGCTCATATCATCTACTCCTGCCTCTGAGCCATTGGAGGAGGCAGGATGGAATTCTGAGTGATGATGGGAAGTAGATGCCTTCAAACTGGTAAGAACTTAGAAGACCTCATTGACAGAGATGGCACCTGAGAGCATGCGGAAGCTAAAGCCAGGGGACTCAGGGACTTGCTCCACAGTGCAGGCTCAGTTCTGGGATGCTGTACATTCTTATGCTAGTTTGTGTGAGCCTGTTTCCGAGGCCCTTTCAGGACACTAATGAAAATGAACACCATGGTCCTCAAAACAGGATGGTGAGAGCAGGGAAGGAGGGACCCAGTATATTCAGAACTATGCTAAGCTTCCTGGAAGGCTTCCTGGAAGTGTGCGTAGGTTTCTCCTAGGAGGATAGTTACAGGGGACAGGCGCTGATACAGACACACTTGGGAGATGGTACCAGCAACTCAGACAGGGGACTAGGCCAGAGGAGGACTTGAAAAGACTATGGGTACACCACTGCTTGTGACTCTGGCTTGGGCCACTGAGCAGACTGGGACAGGGCACTTCAGGGGCAAAAATATAGGTGGGGAGAAGTTTCTGCTGTGGTGGGGGACAGCAAGGCTATGGGTCTCAGAATCTTGTTCCCTCCAGAGGCAGCCCAGGAGCATACCTGATGTAACTGGGCACCTGAGCCTGAGTGTCTCTTCTCACTCACATTCATTCCTTGTTCCACTGGGATAGCACTGCTCCCAGTTGCAGTGGGGTAGTCCAGCCTGAGAAGCAGTGTGGATGGGTGCAGAGCAAGGTGGGGGCCTGGTACTGGCCCAGGAAGAGGTCTTCCCAGAAGGAGTACACAGAGTTGCATGGTCAGAGAGGCCCATGCTGGCTTGGAAACAGGGAGGCCCCTACCTCATTGGGTAGGGTTGACTTTGGAGATAGAGTCCCCAACAAGTGACAGCCTGAGTGCCACAGTATCCTTCCAAGAGGCTTGGATTAGTTCACCAAATGCACAGTACCTGGGCAGGAATAACTTTGAGGAAGAAAGATTTATTTTGTGGCATGGAACCAGGAGTGAAAAAGAAGAGAAAGCAGTGGATGGAGGGACCAGATATCGCCTTCAAAGACCCTTCTTCAGTGACCTACTTCTACCAGCTAGACCACACCTCCTAAAGGTTCTACAGATCCCCAAATAGCAACTGCCTCCAGCTGAGGGATAAGTGTTTAAAACGTGAGCCTGACAGGGACATTTCAGATCCAAACCATAAGAATGTTCTACACTTGGAAGTCCTTCAAGATTAGTGTGCTTGGGTGTCTTCATTCCATCCACAGGACCCCACACACAGGTAGATGAACCTGGGCCTTCTCCACCATGCTTTTCTTCCTGTCCCCACCCTCAGCCCCTCTGGAGAAAACCCCCAGATTTGCTACTGGGCCTGGCTGAGGCCTGGGAACCATATGGTCCAAGGGTCCGCTCCCCCTACTTATCCTGGCAGATCCTCTCTCCTTAGGTCCAGGGCATGGATGGACCTGAGTGGGTAATGGATGGGCTATTCTGAGTAGGGGCTGATGGGAGGCTGAGTGAAGGAATGAGGCGTTCCTCTGAGTAGCTCTGAAACCTCCCCTACTTCTTCACCTAGAGCTGTGCTGGGCCACTTCCTGTAGTGTGAGAGCAAGAAACCCTCCTATCATATGTTAATGCAAAATAATCCTGTGGCCCAGAACACAAAACTCCTGGCCCACCTGGGAGAGAATGAAGAGCAGTACATATCAGCCCTCTCTTGCATGGCCATTGATTTCCCATCCAAGAACAAGGCCATGGAAGCCAGAAAGAAGCCACAGACTGCAACCACCTGTGCTTACCTATAGCAGCTTGAAGTCCACTGTACCACCCTTCCCACCCACCACTGCTTACTTCCCTACGGGAGCCCAAAGGGCCACCATGTGAACCTTTTCATGTGGGGGGAGCTGTACTCAGCACAATGGGTTCTTGGATTCACTGCAAGGTAGTTTCTTTCTCTTGGTAAGGGTTCCTCATGGCCACCTAGCCTGTTAGCCTGTCATGACCAAATGTTCAAGGCACAAACGGTGCTTTGTGTTCCCTGCTGGGTCATGGACTTGGAGAGGGATGAGAGGTAGGACTTATGAGAAGGTCTTAGCCCCAGGTGGGAAGTGACTAGATTTTTCAGCAGCCGGTGGGACAAGGTCTGAGCCAGTTCTGTCTCTGAGGCTGGGAAAGAGGGGCCTTTGCCTGCCCTGCCCTGCCCTGTCTTCACTGAGGTGTGGGACTCAGCTGGAAGCTCTTACATAACCAGCCCCGTTGTAGATGAGGCTGCAGCTGGGACAGCCAACCTCCCTCACAGCAGCATCACGAGCCTCCAGTGGGCAGTCCTTGGGCCTTGGGTGAAGGCCAAGCCTGGATCATAAATAGGGATCTCCACAGTGTCCTCTGCTCTTTCTGCCCACGGCCTCCCTTGCTCTGCCCACACTGCTGGCCTCAGGCCCAGATACCCGCTCTGCTCCAGGCAAATGGCTGCTCTTCGAATGCTGTGGACGGGGCTGGTCCTGCTGGGTCTCTTGGGATTCCTACAGACTCCAGCCCAGGGCCACGAATCAGTGCATCCCAACTTTCAACAGGACAAGGTGAGGGCTCCCTACCCCACACTCAAGGCAGCAGAATCCTCAGGTCAGTGAGCGCTTCAGAGCCAGGCTTTCTCCCACAAAAGAGTACATGCTTTTAGATGTGCTGAGCACTGCCAGCCATGTGTGTTACTGTGCACAGGAGCTGGCTGGGACTCTAGCTGCACACTGCCTGGTTGGTTCACCTAACTCCTCCAGGAATGTGGCATGCTCTGATACCCATTCCACCAACTAGTAGACTGGGATGAGGACTGGGACAAAGATGAGGTCCTCAACATTCTGGGGGGGAGGGGTGTCTTTGCTACCCCACCTTCTCCATGAGACAATGAATCATTGACTATTAGAGATGAAGGGGTATGTGTTGATGAGCATAGTCCAAGCGAAGGGGTGCTACCAGGACCTGTGTGTGGGAGGAGTCAGAGGGGGAAGAACCAGGAGCCCACCAGGGTCTGCCCATGAGGTCATGGAGTGCATAGAGCATTGCCAACCTAGGCATCAACTGGTCACAGTTCCTGGGGCGCTGGTACAGCGCAGGCCTCGCCTCCAATTCAAGCTGGTTCCGGGAGAAGAAAGCAGTAATATCCATGTGCAAGACAGTGATAGCCCCTTCCACAGATGGTGGCCTCAACCTCACCTCTACCTTCCTCAGGTAAGACAGTGGAGTATGGCAAGTTCTGGGACCCAGAAGGGCCCACATCATTGTCTGGGGACATTCTGGGGCTTGATCTCTTACTTCAAAGGTAATCTGCCCACAGGAAAAACCAGTGTGAAACCAAGATCATGTTACTGCAGCCTATAGGACTTCCTGGACACTACAAGTACAACAGTCCCCGTGAGTGAGCTACTTCCTTATCTGGGTAAATTCTGAGGTAAATGCTGGTGGACTGGACAGTCCCTTATCCTAAAATTGTGGGGATAATGGCCACACCATCAGGGTTAGTCATCTAAGGCCAGACCTGGCTGTGCATCTGCCTAAGGCATAGGTATTGGGGACAGATGGACTTATCTCTGGGGACTCTGAAGCCCACGTACATTCTGCCAGGCCCCTTTCCTGCCCTTAATCTGCTGCCCAAGTGGGTCACACACAGGCGTTCCCCACAATTCACAAGGACCTCTCTCCATCCCTCACCTGAGACATGGCTTCCCACAGAAACCCCATTCCGTCTGCTCTAACTATATGGTAACCTGGCCTACTAATTTTTTGAGTCTAAGTGTTTCCTGCCCTCTCCCAGAGACTTGTGTGTGAAGATAGTGCTCCCAGGCTGTGAAGGCAGGAAGCCAAAAACTGACTGGTAGCCACCCAGGAAAAGACAAGGAGGTAGCCCAAGTGAGAGTGGGAGAAGTGTTCTGAGAGCCAAAGGCCTGAGACTACCCCCTCCACACACACACAGTGCCGCCCACAAAGGTCACCCTTTCCAAGCAGAGGAGGAAGAGATGTGGGAGTACTGTCTCAATCAGTGTCATTTCTTGGGTTCCCAGACTGGGGCAGCGTCCATACCATCTTAGTGATGGAAACCAACTATAATGAGTACGCGCTCCTGTTCAGCAGAGGCACCAAGGGCCCAGGCCAGGACTTCCGAATGGCTACCCTCTACAGTAGGTATCACACCCACCAGGCCCACACACGGGGAGACCTTTTAGGGGCCTAGCCTGAGGTTGCAAAAAGACCAAGACCTGATCCTAGACGAGAGAAACAGAGGGGTGGTCCCCAAGACGCAGGGGTGAGGGCAGAGAGGAGGCTTTACGAATGTTAAGAGTGACCCCTTCTTTATCTACCAGGCAGAAGCGCGACTCCAAAGGATAAGCTGAAGAAGAAATTCATCAGTTTTAGCAAGTCCATGGGTCTCACAGAGGAGGACATTGTTTTCCTGCCCCAACCAGGTGAGGGGAGCTTAAGTTGCTGGGGAGGAACTTAAAATCAGATTAGAGCTGAACTAGCCTCTGATTATAGCAGGGTGAGGGGAAAATGGGGACAGCTTGTCCTTGCCCTACTGCCTACTAATCCAGGGGCCCCAAGGAAATAAATTGAGGTGTAGTCTGCCTGCAGCTCCCTTTATTAGGAACCCCCTTTATAGTAGAAACCTAGCTCCCCTATCTGCCAGCCCCCTGGCTAGGGATATGGGGGTTCTACTAGACAAAAACAGATGGAGAAAGACCACCCCTTAGGTTTTGAAGATCAGATTGGAACAGAGGTGGGATGAAGTCTGAAATCTGGGGGCTCAACCAAAGCTAGCTCTCTATGCCTTGGGGGATGCTTCTCAGAGTCAGGGGAGGAGCACAAAGTCCATGTGAATATGGGTCTAAGCCTGATACTGACTACTTCTTTGGGCTTCTTTCCTGACAGATAAGTGCATTCAAGAGTGAAAACAGATGAGAGGAGTCAGTCAGAGGGCTGGCTTCACATGGTAAGTGCTGATTTACTCGCTCAACACATGGCCACTGAGAGGTGGGGACACAGTTACCCAAGCAGAGCAAGTATCCAAGTGAGACAGTCACAAAGAAATTATAGTTCCAATACCAGTGGCAAGGATAGGGCAGACAGCCACGGGCTCAAGAGAAGAGGGAAAATGGAGGAGGTGCCTAGTCCCAGACAGAATGGAGAGGAGCTCCCACCCCATGAAGCCCATCCTACAACTTGGGTCTCCAAGGAAGCAGGGTGGGCAAGATAAGGAAGGAGAATGGCCAGGGATAGAAATGGCAAGTCAGGGGCTCTTCACTAGTGCCACTGACTGAGACTTTGGGGCCATAGATTCTGGAGGAATACTCCACTGTTTGGGCCCCATGGGGTAAGAGTGCTGCCTATGTCACTGATGGATCCTGTTCTTCTGACCAGCTAATCTGGCCCTCAGGACTCCTTTGCTCTGTCATGCTTGAGACCCCAGCCCTGACTACCCAAAGTGCCTCTCCATCCTCCAGATTTGTCCTGCATGAGAAATAAAAGTCTAAAGCAAGTCAGACCTTGGCTCTTGTCTCTTTGTCCTCTAGGCCCCTGGGATGCTCCTCACCCCTCCTATAAATTGTTCAACATGATGACCAGAAGGGTGTCTGTTCCTGCTGAAGTCCTGACTAGGAACAGCCTAGGGAACTTGCTGGTTTCCACACCTGCCCTGCACAGGGCTACAACCTCACTATGTGCCCCAACCAACCTAGCCACAGCCCCTGCAATCTGCCAGCCACAGCCAGGCCTGGGTGGGGCTGGTGGGGTCAGTCACTTAATAGGCAATCCCTTAGACATGTATCTACCCCTGTCAGTCCAGGGAGCCTCGGATCCCATAAACTTTTCAAAGTGTGGGAAAAGAATCTTTGGATTGGGCAATAAAGTTGGAGGGACAAAGAGGAGTCATTTGTTTGACAGGAGTAGGTTCCAAGCACAATGTCTATGACCAACAGTATCTGTGCTGAGTATCTGTACTCCCCAGATATCTGATGTGGTGGGCTGAAGAGAGGGTGCCTCTGCTTCTACTCCAGCCCCCTGGCCAAAGCCCTGGAATCAAAGACACCAAACCCACACATGGCTGCCCAGCTAGCCCCCTTTTCTTCCAGATTTCTCCTGGGCAGCTACTCTCAAGCCCTTTTCTCTTTCCCTTCTGGTTGATAATGTGCAGGGCCCAGGCTCAAGCACACCACACCAGCATTTGAGAGTCAGTGGAGAGGGTGGCCTCTGAGAATTCTTCCTCAGAAGGGGGACTACACTACGCCAGACTTGACACCCCAGAACTAGGAGGCAGCCCTCTGGCCTAGAGGTCACTAGGACTACCTGCCCATGTCTGCTGAGCTCCTCAGACCTCCCACGGGAAACATGGGCTGATAGGATGTGGGGTAAAAAGTACAGAAGCAGCTGAGCCAGGTTCAAGGCAATCCATGGTCTAACACAATGGGTGTGTCCCAATACAGGCCAGCCATCTCAGGTATCTTGGGGATATGAAGGCCACTCAGAAGAAGCCATCTCAGTTCTTCTTCCCCAGGATCCTCCACAATGCTGTAGGCATTAAGTCCATGGAGCTGTCCTGTAATTCTGCATAAGGATTGAAGCATCAAATTTATGGTTACTGGAAGAAGACTACACATGAGAAGCAATAAAACAGCCACCACACTTATAGCAATAAGGCTATGAGTGAGTGGTCTCCATGAAGGCAAGGATGAAAACAACTGATTTAAAAGGTCTTTAGCAGTTTTTGCTGTGTCAAATTTAAATGGTTTAACTTTTTGCCTGAAGATTACTTCTTGAGGGCTGGAGAGATGGCTCAGAGGTTAAGAGCACTGGCTGCTCTTCCAGAGGTATTGAGTTCAATTCCCAACAACTACATGGTGGCTCACAACCATCTATAATGAGATATGGCGCCCTCTTCTGGAGTGCAGGTGCACATACAGATAGAACATTTCATAATAATAAATAATAAATAGATAAATAAAAGACTACCTCTTGATGTAGCCAAACCAAGTCTAAAGATAAATTGTTATGCTGCTTTACTCCCAACAAATGTTTTTTTTAACCTTTTCCCAATTAAAATAACTTTCATTATACTTTAAGGGTGTAGCTCAAATCCATTGATAATAAGCATGACAATTCAATTTAATTTTTAAGCCTTGCAATTCATCTCCTAAAACTTGCAAACTTTCATATAAAGCATCTATTTTCTATTCTAATCTTTCATCAATATCATTTTGCAGTCCTAATATTACAGTAACATTATGAGATAAGTCATTAACATAACTAGCTGCTTGTACTTCTTGTGTCAGTGCGATAACAGCTGTTGTAACTGTGGCTATCAAAGCAATCAAAGCAAAGATTATTTCTATAATTAAGCCTACCATATGTTTAGTTCTACTTACAGCCTTTTCCATTTCTTTCAATACCTGCAAACCTTTTCCTAAATACCATGCGGCTGATATATGATATGATATGATATGATATGATATGAGTTATCATAATGAATGGTGGTTGATGTAAAATCAGAACTGAAGTTTGTACATTAACAACTGATAAGCAATTGGAAAGATAGCAATTCAAGCATGAAACATTAAAGTTTACAGACATATTTTCAATTTTAACATTACCTAGTAAAAATAAATAAGGGAAAGTTAAGCAAACAGAGACATCTTTCCTAACACCATGTCCATAACTACTGTTATTAATCTTTGAATCAGTAGACAGCATAGGAGGATATATACTGCAGCTACTTTCCATAAATGTCTCTGAATATAATTTTTGGAGTAATCCAAATTTCTGAAACAAGTATTTTTTTGTTGCCTAAATCTGTTTGATTCTCTGACCAGCTAATTATCTTAGATACATTACTAATAGAAAATTGAACAGGCATGATAACAGTGCTTCCAATTAATAGATTTATTATATATGGGGTCTCATAAACCACCTGGTTTTAATAAAAATGCTCTAACACTTTGTGAATATAAGTTGTGAGAAATATTAGTTTCTTCAAACTGTGGCATGCCCATCATGACACTTTGTTGAGTATTCTTTGTGATATTTGCAGTCCATATTTGTGAAGTAACAATGACACATCAGTTTTGAGTAGCATTTTTTTGGAAAGCATATAGGAATTGCCTTACTGATACCAGAATAATTATTCAGCTGTGAAGTCACTTGTTGCTCAGTCCAAGGAAAATCTAGTAAGTGAGTGTCAGTAGTGGATACAAATACTTCCAGACCATTCCAAGGAACAGGTTGTAGCAGAGGAGGATCTGGAACATATGCCCAGCATGGTTCTCTTATTGCACTCATCACCAAACTACTGCTGATACAGTCAGCAGTAGTGGCAGCCTCCACAAACTGCATCAGTCATTCAGGTAACCAAAGAGCTTTTTCAGCATCCTGTGGAAAAACACAAACAAGGCCTCATCCCTGCATCAAAATCAGTTGGGCATATTCCGTTGTTCAGTTAAAGGACCTCATCATTTCACCATGGCAAAATTATCTTTTAGTTTTTGGGCGCCAAAACGTTCTGCATCTGTCAAACCCTGTTTGTCCAAATTTTAAACTTTTTAAATAAACAAAGTATGATTTAAAGAATTCTTTGGAGTCCAGGGATATAACTCCCCCCTTTTGATTTTTTGTAGTTGTTGTTTTAATGAACTATGTGCTCTTTTAACAATATCTTGTCCTTGTGGAATATAAAGAATTTTAGTTTTGCGATATTAAATTGCATACAAAAAGTTTGAGATGCCTTACCAATACATCCTGACATGTCTGTTTTAATGACTTTTGGTATGCTCATAATGGTGAAGTATAATAAACAATGAGCAACAATGTGTTTAGCAGCTTTTTTAGTTTGTGTAGAAGCAAAAATAAAGCCAGAAAAAATGTCCACTACTATATGAACAAATTTTTGTTGTCCAAACTTTGATATATGAGTAATATCCATCTGCCAAAGTTGGTTAAGAATAAGCCTTCTCGGATTAATACCCATGTGTGGTACAGTTGTAAATTATGGACACTGTGGACATTGTTTTATAACTTGATAAATATGGTGATATGATACTGTTTTTTTTATGCTATTGCTATTTTGATGATGCAAGTCATGAGATTGTTGTGCTAATTCAATTGGAGTGCAGAGCTTCAAGAAAAGAGCCCATTTATCAGTGTTTGCTGTTCCAAATGAGCTGCTTTTCTCTGAAAATTTTTTAAGTAAGCTAAATCAAGTTAAGGGGTAAACAGTCAGCCAACAGATGAAGTTTGGCCCATGATTACTAACAATTAATCCACAGAAAGAGCCACACACATCCATACACACTGCCTCCAGGGCTGGGGAAGACAGTTATGGCCACACACATCAGGCCTCTGCTGGACTCATGCAGTTGCTCAAAAAGAGAGCAAATTGTCCTGAAAGTTTTGAGGGTAAAGTTTAGTGTTGTCTGTAATATAAATGTTCTACAAAATTTGATAAAATAGAATAGAATTTAATAACAAATACTGACTGTAAATTTGTCAAATGTTGGTAATTCTTCCATCCAGGACTCATTATGCTATTATTTCTTCTTTGTAGTTGGTTTGAAATTTTTCACTCAAAAAAAAAAAAAACAAAAAAAAACACTTCTGTCTTGCCAGACCTTTTTTTTTTTTTTTTTTTTTTTTAACTGAGGCTGGCTGGGATGAGATGTCACAGAGAAAAGAAGCACACACATACACTAACACACACCCTCTTGCATGTGCTCCACTGATCAGCCAGCCCCTTTAATGCCCCAGTACCTTCTGGTCTCCAGGTCTTGGCCAGAAGTGAGCACTGTCACTAATATGAAGTGGGGAGGGCCTACCAAGCCAGAAAGCTCTATTCCTATCTGCTCCTGTAGCAGCTGTATTCTACAAGGCTTGGATAAGGTACAGTCAGTCCACCAAAACCGAGTTCTCACCACAGAGGTGTTTACTGAGAAATGCTGCCTGGGCTGTCACTTGAATAATGTTCTATCTGTTGTTGTTCATCCTTACCTTAGGCCAAAAGGAGATAACAACAGAGATGTGGCAGGCCATCCTACAACTGGTTCAGCTTCGCCTCCAAGGACTCCCAAAAGGGTCTAGAATGGGGAAAGGTGGGGTGCTTTCGTTAGCCTCAGGGACACCCTACCCTTCCTTCTGGTTGGAAGCCCTGGTTCCTGGGAGTCCAGAAGTGATTAGTCCCTACTGGCAGCAGTCAATCCATCTGTCATATACTGCACCCCGTAGTATGGCCACAAGGGGCAGCCAGTTCTTCAACCAGAAACAAAGTATGTCAAATTATGTATAATACATAACATATAATTACACACAACAGCATTACAAGCCATGCCAAATCCTACCCTCAATGCTCAGAATACTTGGACCCACCTTACCTAAAGTGGTCTTGATATGCTGCCCAAAGTGGCCTCAAATTCCTTGGTTCAATGGGCTAGAGAAAATAGCTCAATGGTTAAGAATAGTTGCTGTTAGTATTTAGGCAGCCTGCTTTTGGGTTGCCTAGTAA